TCAGCGGCCTCGTTTCGCTTCGATGGCTTTCAGCCTCACCTGCTTCATTCTACTACGTTAATAAATCATTAGCTCATCCATGAACATGATTTCTGCCCGAGTCCCGTCGGATTGCATCGGCTGTGGGGATGAAGACGACAACTCCCATGATTCCACACTCAGTCACGGCGTCATCAAACTACGCCTTTGTTTCTTTTGAATAAGCGCCCTTTAGCGGCGAAAAATTACATATTGTGCCTTTAAAAACACCTTACCAACCCCAAACTTTTAGCAGTGTATATCATTTTTGTACCAGCAGAATTAGGGATGGGCACTTTGATCAAAGTAATATGAAAATTGGTGTAAAAATGTTTTGAAGTCGAAAAAAAGAACAATTATGGTGTTTTTAAGATGGATCCTTGCTGGCACTATTAAATGCTCTGGTAGTTGTGCCGATCCCAAGGTAATACGTGTAGTAAAACATGAATAAAGTCTAATACCACACAGCTGTCCCGTGAAAGCAGGACTTGTTGCCACCTTCAGGCCAGGGTGTGGTAAGAGAAAACAGGAAATGGAGGTGAAACAGGAGTAAATGTGCTCCCTCACTGTCTGAAGCTCCTCATGTTGAGTCGGCTTCACCTGAACACCGCCAGACAAACACATAAAAGAGATATCACTACAGACACACGCACACACAACTGAACATACCAAACATGAGTATCATTCTTAGTCACATACTTGCAAACGTTTGTCCAAGAAATCACTTCCTCCCTTAAACCCGTATTTGTACTCGTACGGGAAACTCCAGTCTCTGACCAGGAACATAAGTGACTGCGGGCAAGAAAGATTTGAGTCGGCATGAAGGAAATATGAACGCATAAGAGTTTTCTTTAATACACATGCCCTCTGATATATAACTTTCAAGTTATATGTAAAATCTGTCCTGAGCTCTCAGACAATGTTGTCCGTGGTACTACCCCAGTATTATTATTCTTGTTACAGATGTAAATACAATGGGTTCATCAAAGAATCCTGAAAATTGTATATTAATGTTTCCACAAAATATTAAGCAGCATAACCATTTTGATAATAATAATAATATCTGTTTCTTGAGTACCAAATCAGCATATTACAATGATTTCTGAAGGATCATGTGACATTGAAGACTAGATAATATAATAATGCTGAAATTTCAGCTTTGCGTTAAAATAGAAAACAGTTATTTTAAACTGTATTAATATTGCATAATATTACGGACCCAAACTTTTGAACATTAGTGTACATTTACATTAGAAAATTTTAAGTATAATAACTGTATTATATTAATTTTTAAAATCAAGTTACATTTAACCCAATAATTTATCTGTGATCAATTCTCCGGATCAAAATTGCAGGACAATCTCAAGATAAATCAGTTCAGATTGACACTGCTGTATTCTTGGCTAGTTGTGATTTGACTAACCTGAAGTTGCTGTAGATCATCTTCCTGAATATTCTGTGACAGGTTATAAATCTACACGAAAAAAAAAGGAATTGTGATACAATTCCAATCTTCTTTTAACTCATTTGTGGCTAAATAGTAGAGATGCATTGTGGAAACCTGGACAGAGCTGGTCATGGTGCTGAGGGCAAAGATAGTAGCGCAATCTTTCACTGTGGACTGGGAATCAAATGCTCCTTGTGTGTCCATTAAGAGCACAGCAACCTATAGAGAAAAACAAAATGCTCTTTTTAATACAATGGTTCTTCAATCTCAAGAGAAAGTGACCGGAAGTGATTCAAGATGTGAAAAAGTGATTTGATGGTTTCTGTAAAAACATTAACATTAAGCCAGATCACAGATGACAAAATCTTGACAGGAAGTGACAGAATTTCACCACAAACTTACTATGAATCTGAAATCAGGGTTTTTGCAAGTGCAGACTGCTTACTGGACATGAACCACCAGATAATCCACCATCTGGTCTGAATACGTACTGGATCCGGGTGACTGCAGTGACCATCTGATCTGGATACAGACTGGATCTGGTAAGATATCAGATATCAGATAGTTCATAATGCAACTGTCGTAATGAATTTCTGGGGAACTGAAACTGGCTAATACTAATCATTTAGTTCTTCATTCAAACTCAGTTCTTTATTCACACCATATCTCAAACATGCTCCACTAGTGACAGGAATTGTGAGGAATTTCACTTAATGATTCTCAGTACCTCAGACTAGGAAGCAACAAATAATTGATCCCAACTATGTTTAGTAAGATTTATTAATGTTACATATATTACAACTAAATTTGAAAGTTTCTAATGCATCTATTTAACTGCACATTGTCATATACAGAATCAGTCCGTAATACTGATCTCAAAAGCCTTAAAACAAATTACGCCTAATTCACAACACATGCTTACACACATATTTGTTCTTAACCTTGTTTTAATGTTAGTGAAGTTAAAGTTTTCTAAATTAGATGAAATATAAATTTTATTTTAACTACATATACACACATATATATATATATATATAATATATTCTAATTTTAATCATGTTAAGATGAAATATAATTTTCATCATAACACAATTATAAGGCCACCCAGAGTATGTGTTTTTTGCATACCTGTGGTATCAGTTGTTCCTACAATTTTTCGTAAAGTTAGAATAATTTTTATGGTATTTTTATATGACAACAATGTACTACAAACAGAAAAGTTCTTCCAACAACACTGTCAAAATGATCCCCTTTCACACAGAAAGATGTTTGTGAAAACTTTCACATGCAGATTTCACAATCTAACGTGCATACTTAGTAAATGTTACCTATTATTCCAACACATTATTTCTCTCTCAATACTGACTGCACGTCCACAACTCTAACTGGCTGCATTAGTGGAAGAGCGCAGATGTTCAAAAACCATTAAAACCATCATGAAAAGCATTAGTTTTTGGTATTTAAAAAATGGAAGTAAAACCTTTAACCAGTTCTGAATAAGACCACATGACCACAGTGAGCTGTTTGCTGTTAGGTGCTTGTTACCTCACTTCCATCCTTCTTCCGCACAATGAAAACTTCACTCCATAGCTGGATGCCAGTGGTCTCTGGTTCTGATCCTCCTCTCCAGGAGAAACCTGTCAGAGGCTCATTCTCCTGCCCAAGCCAGTCCTGACCAGGCTGGAGAGGACAAAATAATAAGAGGTGAATTTACAGTGGGAATAAATATGCCTGGCTTCCTGCTCAAGAGCAGCACACCACCAGTATTCCAGTTATATTAGAAAGTGTCATCTTAAAACTGGGTACATTTTGCTACATCTTCAATTATGTGCTGCATTACATGATCTGAATATTGAATGTTTTTCTTCTGACCTTCCTATACATGTATCGGAGCATGAAATCCAAAAGGAAACTTTTCCCCTTTCGGAAGGCACCGGCGACAGACACCACCACCACATCCTTATCTCGAACCTCAGGCGTCAACAGAATTCGACTGAGCGCTTCTGTGTCCAGGTCAAAGGAGTGATCCTCCTTGTTGACTGTCACGATCTGAACTGGCCCAGGATCGCCTCTCATCCTCTGTCCTATATCACACGCTTACTATGGGCGACAATAAAAATGTTTCAGCTTATTGGCTGCAATAAAATTAGGTCACACATTCATATTCAAGTGCATGCCACAATGAGTTTTGACCTTTACAGCTAGCTGTTAGTTTCTGCTTGGAAATATCAAAGACTGGGATATCAAAGACAGATTTCTGGGAGGCATTATTGAGACAGTACTGGCCCTGTTGGCTGGCAGGGCAGGGTTTGTTGGCATGCGTTGCATGTAGTAATGAGAAACGAGGCAACTGCCACTAAGAAACTTCAGTCAAATATGATAAATGAACATATGAACTTGCTCATGTCAACCATTAAACGCATTCAGAGTGGCTTCAGATTGTGTTCGGGGGCCTGTTTCAGAAACAAGTTTACCAAATAAGCCAGGCTTATTTCATTTAGTCTGACTTCTTTTGAACCAAATCAACTGACAATAAGTCAGACTAACTGAAATAAACCTGGCAATAGTACAAGCAATACTTCCCCCTTTTTTTCAAAAAAGTTTTGCCAGACATCTAGGGAGTGTCTTCTAGGTTTTCCATAATGAGTCACACTGGTATGGCAGCCTTCACTTTTGGTGTAGCCAGGACCAAGAACTACACATGAACACATCTCATTTACTACATTACACAACAGCTTCTGGTTTATGCAGAGCTTGAGTTAAATATGTTTGTTATAGCACATGCTCAAAATCAGCTCGCACTCTTAAGCTGATTCTACATCCTAAAGCTATAAGAAAAAAAATATTTATACATTTATAATTATTTGCTTCCTATTAAATTTAATTTTCTGGCAATAAATTGTTAAATTCATTCACATGATTCATTAGGTAAGGGTAAGTGCAATACTATTTCATTTAAAAAGATCACATACATAGAAGGTGTACTGAAAATCTGACCTGCCTCTCCGGTTGCCCCACCCAAACTACATCCTTTTAATGATAGGTTAAGGTTTAGGGTGGGGTTGTGGGTTAGTCCTGCCTGACAATATAGTCTGCCTATGGTGACAGCATATCCTGATAGGCTTTTACAGCTCATCTATTACATTAGAATTGCATCTAGATAGTTTTTATGCCTTATGTTGTAGCTTCAAGTATGACAGTTTAAACTACTGGTCGGTCATCTCGAGTAGGTAGGTCAGATTTTCAGAACACTGGCCTTTTTCTTACAAGCCACTGCAGAGCAACCATTATCTAAAGGTTAAGATGTGTCATTTTCATAAATGAAGCCATATGAGAAGACATTAATAGCTTCACTAATTCACTCCTCAATGTCTTCTGGTTAAATCTGTCATCTAAGAGCTTGCAAATTAAAACTTAAATTTATAATATCATAGCTTAAATCAGGCAAAGACTTCAACATAACATTTTAGTACTTTATTGCTACATGAGTTACACATGAAGAGGATGGGGTCAGAGTGTCATTTAGTGTCAACCAGTTAAACATACTAAAATAAACACGTGAATAAAGCAAAATATGACATGCATCATACTACACAGGAAACTAATCACTACAGAATGCTGTAGCATGACAATAATCAACAATCAAGAAATAAGGGTTAGATATTAATCTTTCCATCTACCCAATCTAACAGCTGGCAGTTTATCTCAATAATACTTGAACATGTTCATAATTCTGAACAATTTTATACTGTAAAAAAAAACGTATTTTCTTCAAAACTCACATCAGAACTTTATCCCTCTAATTTGAATGTAGAACACAACAAATCTTTAGAATAATCTTAATGGAAGGGACTTAAAATGGCATGGAAGTACATGAAATATTACCTTTCAACCACAGTAAACAATAAATATTTTGTTCTTTATGGAAGCATTTTGCAGATGCTTTATTACCTATTATACACTAATACCAAGGATATCCTCACAGTGCTGTTGTCAGTCCCTACAAATGTTTTATTCGAATCACTAGATTATTTGGAATTGCTTATGTTGCACCTTTCATGACAGTAAGTAAAAGTTCAGGCAGTTATAAGGTGCCAATAGTACATCAAGCCTAGAGTTCTCACAGTGGCCCCATCTCCCCATTAACCCTCCTTGCTTGTACACAGCACACAGGTAAGCTCTCAGAGGTTGCCTCCCGCGAGGTCAAGCAGTGACCCTGCAGCCTCCTGAGCCTCTGCATCAAGCTGCAGTATCTCAACCGTCTCCAGGTCCAACTCAGTGTCTCCTGGAAGAACCAGGTACTGATACTGCTGATACTGGTAATAGTGTAACTCAATGTAACCGCTGTCTGCCAGTGGATCTTTCTCTGAATCCTCGCCGACAACCTCTGTCAGATCCACAGACTCCATGGGGACCAGCTCCTCGTGATCTGGTGTCAAAGAGCACGGCGGGTTTGAAGACAGAGAATCTAGATCTGAGGAACAGTGAAATAGAACAGTTTGTGATGGAATTAAGAGAAGTGTATCATACATAACCACAGTGGACTACAAGAACAGGTCAGTAGTTAGTGTGACAGTCACTCTCTGTGACTCTCTTCTGTATAAAACTCACAGCTGGATATTTTCTTTCATTCACAAAAAAAAACACTAATTCAGTTACTGTACTATTGTATTATTACTATTTAATTAGTACTGTATGGTGAAAAATCTTTGCAAACGAAGAGAGAAAACGGTCTGTTATCTGAGACTTCTTTACTTAAGTGACCCTGTAGTAAAACAGCCTGACACAGAGAGGACGACCATAATGTTAACGTGGCTATAGGTTGCTAGGGTAATGTCCGGCCATTACCAAGACAACAGCTCACAAACATGCCGTGTCTGGAAAAAGTGGATAAAGGCTAGCAAACAAAACAGTGCGTGCAAGAGAAACACCATATCACACAATACCATTTAAAAGTTTGGGGTCATTAAGAATGAAAACTGTCATTCAGCAAGGACACAATTTGATTAAAGGTGACATTAAAGACATTTATAATGACATAAAAGACTTATATTTCAAAAAATATTGTTCTTTTAAACTTTCTACTCACGGCAGAACAACTGTTTTCAACAATGATAATTCAAAATGTTTCATGAGCAGCAAATAGGCTTAGAATGATTTCTGAAGGATCATGTTACACTGAAGACTGGAGTTATGATGCTGAAAATTCAGCTTTGCATCACAGGAATAAATTACATTTTAAAATATATTAAAATAGAAAACAGTTATTTTAAATTGTAATAATATTTCACAACATTACTGTTTTTACTGAACGTTTAATCAAATAAACCCAGCCTTGGTGAGCATAAGAGACTTTTGAACAGTAGTGTATAACGTGTCTGTATCCATAACTGTTTAACATTCATGGAATTTCATGCTCCTATATTTAATATTTATTTATAGATATGCTGTATTTAGGGTATTCTAGATGTTTTGGTCTGTTGTGTTGTATGTGTAATTGATTGTTTTTTGGAATGCCAAGATGAAACCAAAGACCAATTTTGAGCCAAGGCTGAACACTTAACTAAACTTCACTAGGTATAACTATAATTTAACTTTTTTGTTAGAGCATACTCATTCCAGTATGTTAAATTTAACTAGAGTTAAATTTAGAAGCTGTGTTCAGTTGTGGCATACCTGAAATTTCCATAGTCTCACCCAAGGTGTTCTGCCCATTATCAGCCGCCTCCAACCTGTTCAGAATGGCGGTCAGATATGCATGTATCAGTATCCCAATGAACGAGTCATTTGTTCTTCTGCCGTTGTGCATAATGCATCAGATAATTCAATATTAAGCCTTACGGAGGTGGTGTGTATCATAAGAAAGCAAATCAAACTCACAAAACAGGCTTGTTCAGCAAGTTACTGTTGGTACGATGACAATAATGAGTTTTTCTAAGAACTTCCAGAAGAGCTGGCCGATATTCTGGACAAACACGCCATAATGAGCCCTTTCCAACAGACTGCAAAACAAAGCAGGAATATTTCATTAAACAACTAATCAGCATAGACTAAGGAGTTCAGAAAATTCTGACTGGAAGTCTGACGCACTTGACTCTTGTCTCGATGTATTCGTTGGAAGCTCTTGCTCAAGGAAAGGTTGTGTCGGACCGAGTTCCTCCATCCACCGGGAGCCTCTTTATAATAGGGGAAGTTGTCGACAATCCACTCATAAATACCTTTCACAGGGAGCCTCTTCTCAGCCGAATCTTCTATTGCCATGAAGATGAGACTGCTAAAAGAGTACGGGGGTTTGGCACCGGAGGAAGGCAGCTGTTGGACAGGAATGGGATCTAATGTCTGGGGCAGTGTGGTGATTTTGGGCAGTGGCTGCAAAGGCAACAGGTTCCCTCTTTGATGCAGCCAGCTGAGGCAGGTCAGGTCATCCTGGTCAGATACTGTGGAGGGACTGAGGCAATGTGACCCTCCAGATGCCCGAGGGGTTGATGTAAAGTGAAGATAGGAGTATGGGGTGGTTGGGGAGGAAGGGAGGGACGCAGACAGAACAGCAGCGGGCTGTGGAAGAGAGGGGGATCGAGACAGAGCTTCGGAGTTATTTTGGGGGGAATGTAAAGGAGAATGGGGTGGCAGTGCTTGTGTGTATTTCTCCATCGGTCTCTCAGCTGCAAGATACAGGTCCACACATTCACCTGTTGAACTGCAGAAACACACAAACAGTGTAATTAATGCATTGCACATATACTTTTTTAAACAAGCACAGAGGTTTTTTTTTTTTATTAGAATTTTTCATAAATAAACAAATAAATAACTTGAATGTATTAAACCCAGGAAGGAGGCTGTATCATTACTTTTTCAATACTGAGTGCACTACGAGTAAATGATTGAGCAAAGTAGTCAACCGAGAAATAACATATTCAACTGGCGCTAAACAAACACGGGTATGATGGACAGCTTGCTGATAATTAGTGCGAAATATGAATGAGAATTTTAAACAAATCGATTATTCTATCACCTGACAAACACGGAAAGCCAAGCCACATGGTCTATATACACCTGAGAAAATGGCGCAAGAATATTAAGTTACATTTAGAATAAT